TCCCTATACTCCGAGGGTGGCAGATGTGAGTTTGATTCTGTTAAATCAGTGTAAAAAGTTTGAAATAAAAATCACCCAAACAATGCCCACTGGGGTAAGTAACATCATCCTGGCAATGGGCACCAGTGCCCATCTGCTTGTGCAAGGCCCTTAATACACATTCCTCACAGCCTTGCAAGACTGGGACATTCTTGTCCCCCACTTGATCTTGTAGGGAATTCAGTCTCTGGGCACTAAGTCTCTTGGCCAAAGGTCAGCAGAGCTGCCTGATGCCAAAACCAGAGCTCTGCGCCTGCCCAGAAATCTATGGAGAGAAACCAGAAGAGAACTCAGATGTGCACTGTGATCATTGGGTGAGAACAGACAAGTGGCTTTGGGTCAACTTACAGCAGGTAGACAGCAGTTCCCCCAGACATTGTCAGGGCTCTTAGGCTGCAACTTCCCAAGGGGAATAGGAAGGTAGATGTCTGAGGGCAGGAGGAAGAACCTACAGACCAATGACTTTGAAGGGCACTGCCAGAATCTCCTAGATCATCCAATAGAAATCTGCAATCTAGAAACCAGGGGCTCAAGGAATTAACTGGCTGCTTGGAGCTGCTTTTGTTTTCAGAGAGCTGAGCAAAGGTTAAAATGCCTGCCTCCATCTCTGCCCCCAGGTCAAAGTGCAGACAGCATGCACAGTAGCCGTAAAAAGGGACATGTGCAGGGTCCCTGGGTTAGAGTGGAATGCTTAAAATGTCACAGAGCATAGCAGGATGGGTGAGGGTGGGCAAGACTTTTTTAGGAAACCCCCTCAAGGAGCACAGTGGAACTGGAAGTGATGAGACCTACACTCTGCACCTCCTCAGGACGGAGGCAAGCTTTGATTTTTTTGCAGTTTTGATTTTTCCGGTTGCTTTCCCACTCCTTTGTCCTTTTAGATTTCCCATGAAAATATACCCCAATAAGATCTCCTCCACGATCACAGCCTCTCAGGACAATCTCAACTCTGACTTTGTGGACTGTCTGCCCCTCTATCAAGGCTGGCTCTGGACATGGCCATTCCCTCTTCCTGGCCCTGCTCTCTGCCAGCCGTCCCCTCAGCCCCTGAGGCCAGCGGAGAGCCTTGCCCTAGGCTCCTCCACATGGGTTTTAGTCAGAACCCTTGGGCAATATCATCCACAGAAAGAAGTCCAGCCGTCCAAAGGTGTCCTGCTTGGGCCATTGAGATCATTTCCTGAAATTAAAGTCACAGCAGTTTTCCTTAAGAATAAACAAAACAAAACAACAACAACAGAAAACTCTCAAGGCAACCCATTCTCTTTTCTTCTAGAAGGCAGATCACCTGTCTGAACATGTTTCCTCTGAAGGGGAGTGGAAAGCAACCAGAAAAAACGCAAGTGGCAGGATCGTTGGAGAAGTGGGCTGGTTCTCCCTCCATTCCACTGCTTGCCCTGGGCTGTGTTTGTTCATCCTGTACTGCCTCAGAGGTCCCTGGGGAAGCAGAGAGCAGCAACTACTTCAGGGCAATGGCAGGAGAGTTTTTCTCCCTTCCAGAATAGCCAGACCAGATTTTCTGAACTCAATGGAAGGCTGCCCCTGGGAGGCAGAAGGAGAAACATGTTTGTGGTCCTAGGTCACTATATTTTAAATTCACTTGGTCTCTCTCTCTCTCTCTCTGTGTGTGTGTGTGTGTGTGTAGGGGAGGGGGTGCTTATAGGACTGTATGGCTTGGTGCAGGCCACTCTGAATGATCACACTGTTTTGAATCTGAAAACAAAGCCTCCCTACTCCTCTCAAAAATAAAAGAGGTAATGACTTGTAGTTAGCCTCTTCCCTCATGATTCATGTAGGTACACTACACTTAATAAAGTGACTCATTCTTTCATTGGGCAAAAACAAGACCTGGACGTGCTAGGTCCTGCTGGGGAAGCAAACACCACCACCGAGGCCATGGAGGGAAGTCAGTGTGCACTTACTTCCTCACCTCACCCTAGACCACCTCCAAGCCAGGCTGGTCTTATTTTCAGTACACAGGCCAGAGGGCACGGTGATCATTAATGATGATTCCCATGCATAATGAGGGACACTTTCCTTAGGACACTTAGCTTTGAGTGAAGCCTAAATGTGGTCTGTGTGTTGGGCACCGAGGACAGGGAGCTGCAGAAAGCTGAGGAGAGGGTTAGGAGCAGGGGGTTGGCAGAGTCTGGCAGCTGCAGAATGCTTGATTTGGGAAGGTGACACCTAGTGGCAGGAGTCAAGGTTGATGGCCCTGGCTGGGGCTTTTCCTTTTGACAGTGGCTCGCCCATGGGAGACTGTGGCAGACTGCAGAGGTCTCTCATTTCAGTGAGGCTTTCTTCCACAGCTTTCGCAAACTTGGTAGAAGAGGTCTCCTTGCAGCCATGGAAGCTGGAGATGCAGAAGAGGATGCTTTCAGGCTGGGGGTTGTAGCAGGCGCCGTACCCATCGGGCACCACAGGTCCATAACAGCAAAACATCTCCATGGTTGTGGGTACCTGGAGGAGAGGACATATTAGGAACTGCTTGTTCTGAAATGCAACCTGTGAGCCTGCTAGAATGAAGAGCATTCCAACAACCCCGGAGGCCTTGACAGAGTATTTGCTCCTCTGTTTTCCACCTGGGTGTTTGACTGAATTAACCAAATCAACCAATTGCTTCATCATGGATGGTCATGGCCAGAGTCATAAAAACAAACCCATCTAACTGCATGATATCAGAAGAAGAGGGGCCATAAACCACTCCCTGGTGTGAAATCTCCTCTACTGTGGAGTCAGAAGCTTTCAGATTCACCTGCTGCTAGGTCTCTGCTGAGTCTCTCTTTCACCTGGGGGCTGTTTGAGGCACCAAGGCAATCAGGGTAATTTACTAAATGGCACCCTGGTGACACCCAATGGTTCGATGGTTTCCCAGAGGGAGTAATTTATGAACTGGAGGAAATCTGGCCTGTCTCTTCTGTCTATTTCCCCCACATCCTTAATTACTGTCAGCATTGCCTGGCTGTTCTGATTTTCTCCACACAGCCTGGCTATGCACAATTACCCAGCACTGGGTGTTTCAAAATTGGCCATCAATTGGAGTTTTAGTTATGCACCTAATATGTTTTGAATTTAGAGTGCTGAGATTTTGTAATCCAGATCACAAATCAAGAAAAGGTGTTTCTGAAGGCATTCAAGCCATAAATGTTCATTTTTAGTTAAAAAAAAAAAAGCCCAAACCATTGCACCCCAATTAATTTTATTAGCTGGTCTTAGGGGAAAATAGAATACATTCTTGGGCAGGTGTAGGGTGGGGTTTATTTTAAACCCACTGGTTTCTGGCACTGTGTACTTGGGCCTTCAGAAATGACACTGACTGTTTTAATGGGGCAGAACAAACCATTAGTCCTGCTAATAGAGTCACCTCATTGTCAGATAAATTTGCCGTGCAACAGCCAAAGGCCATAAAGCCATTCCAAAGCACTTTTTGCCCATGGATGGTTTCCTGAAGAATTTATGTTGTATTCTGTCCTCCTTTGTTCATGTCTGTGAGCTCACTGCTGTAATGACAAAATCAAATTACTGAGGGGGCTTTTATCCTCAAACACAGCTTTATCAGCTCCTTTTATTGCCCACATCTAGCTTTTCACAATGAGATGGAGTTTCAGGAAATTGACGCATGGGTGGGTGGCAATACTTTGTCTTCTAAGCTGCTGCCTTTCCCTGATGGATTTCGTTCTGTCTTTGTGACAGTGGTCCTCCAACAGAATGAGCCTGTGGTGCAGTTTAGGAGACTGTGGACTGGCAGCTAATTGCCTGCTATTGGTTGCGTGGCCCTTTACAATAATGGCTGTGACCTGCTTGGAGAGCCCTGTCCATGCCAGCTACTGAGCTGGGCTTTCTACCTACGTCATCACATCTAGTTGAACTAGGACTTTGTCCTAGGCCTGTCAGGCTTCAGAGACTGTGGCCACCATGGTGGAACACCACCACCTCTCAGGTAACAGATCGAAAGGTAGTAGGGTACCAGAATGGGTGCTTTTCCATCCCGTCTACCTCTGCTAAGGTGGCATCTGTGATTACTCTCATTTAGAAGATGGAGAACCAGAGCTCTGACCATTTAGGTCATTTTGCTGAAGGTCACAGAGCTTATGAGAAGCAGATAAAGGACTTGCCTGACTCCAGACAGTAGACCGTATTCATTGAGCTCTTTTGAAAGCCCACTGGTTACACTAAGTGGCCTTTTGGGCAATGGCTACAATAGGGCTGTACCTGGCTGGTGGAGAGGACAAATCGATTGCTCATCAAGTATGTTTCATCCGTGAACATTTCAGGCAGCTCCTTGCACATGTTCCGGGCCAGCTCCCGCAGCCCTAGCAGGTGGTTGTCAATAGCCATCCCTGTTATGGCCTGGGCAGTAGGGGGCAAAGAAAAGGAAATGAGATGTAGGCTCCCACGTGCCTCCTCCCCATCTCTCTAGTCCATAATGCTAATGGTGACTCCAACGGCCATAGTTACCCAGTGCTTGCTGCAGACAGCATGTGTGGGTGGCTGCCCAGGACTGACTACTTTACCACATGGCCTCTGCTTCTTGGGCCCTTGTGCATTTCTGTGTGCACAGGATGAGTCCAGATTGGGTTGTATTCTAACATGAAGAAGCCTGCATTTAAGGTTGGCGAATCTGAGTCTCTTCCCATGGTCACTGCTGATGTGCACTGTGTATAACCACTTGGTACTCTAAGTGGAAGGAGTGGGCTGGCTGGGCTATCCCCAGTACCTTCTCAGGAAGGAGAGGAGTCTGGGGAGAAGGAAAGGTGCTGGCCCAAGGACTGCTGAGCCCCATCCAAGCATGGCGAGAGGAGCCCCAGGCTGCCACTGGTCAGACTCATCATAACCAACACTTTATCCTCTAGCAGGTGCCCAAGGAATGAGGATAGATGGTATTAAGACCTGTTCCTGAATCTTGGCTGCTATTTCATAGGCCCAGAATGAATTCAACTCAACTGGATTCATTTTCTAAGAAATCATTTTGAGATAGAAACTAGACATCTTAGCAGAAGTTCAACTGATGTTTTCAAGGGGAAAGCTTGTTAAATGAAGAAAGGTTATTTTTCTTTTTATTACAAGGTATTTAAGCTTTTATCAAAGGCTAAAATAATAGCTTGGGAGGGGCTCCAGAATCTCTATGTGGGAGGTGCTCAGGGTGGTGGTGTGGCTGGAAATGGGGCAATGGGCCAGGGTACTCACGCTACATCTTTTCCACTTGAGGCTGCATGTGTAGCATGCACACTGGTTTTGCTTGGATTATATGTTTACTTGGGGCAATTTGGGGGGCCGATGGAAACATGGGGGCCACCTTTGGCCTATAGTAATAAGTCAACATTAAGGTAATTGTGAGTAACATTTAGGGGTTTCATGGTTACATAAGATGGACACTTAGCCTTTAAAGCACTACATAGGAGGAAGCCTCTTATCACAGTGAACTTTGTTCAGGTTTACAAGGCACGTTTTGGGATTTGACAGCTGTTATCTTTCAGTTGGGAATGAATGCATAAAGATGACTCAGAGGCTCCAGTCTCTCCAAATGCACCTAATTATAGGCTGAAAAGACATGTTATACAACCACATCTCACTTTAGATGTGTCCCGTTAGGACAGGGTAAGAACTATGAGCCCACTTCTGATTTCTCTGGTTACTTCTGTCTAATTGCTGATTTGTGTAGATCTACAGAAGCAGCTGCTCTGTGCAGCAGCCAACCCATCCCTGTTTTCACCATCTCTGAACCCACTGTAGCAACTGGGATTGACTTAACAGATTGTTTGGATTAGAGCCTTGAGTAGTAATGAGTAATACAACTTATTCATTCATTCATTCATTCAGAGAATTTTAATTGATGCCTACTATGGGCCTGAGGCTGATGAACACTGACGTGACAACAGAGAATATAGCAGTCCTACACTTAGCTGTCATGAAGCCTTATGTGTGGTGGGAGGCAGATATAAAGTAACCATTCAAATAAACTTGTGATCATCAACCAAGGTAAGTGCTATGAAGGAAATCACAAAGTGCTGTGAGAATATGTGATATGAAGTCTGGACCACATTTACTCCTTCACCAGAATTTCCTTTCTCCACTACCACTACCAAATATACTTGCCAAATGTCTGGAGAATTCCTTGCTCCTGCACGGCCTGCGAGGGAGTAGGTTTACCTAGAAAGCATCTTCGTAGCTCTCCTCTTCCCATCCTCTATCTCTTTTATTTAGTTGTTCCCATAAACTTAAAATAGTTAACACAAAATAACCCTATGGCAATGCTTTGGAGGATAATTTTCTAAATTTTTCTAAAAATTTTAAATTATTATCAAAGTTATGTATTTATATAGTTTAAAAACCCTTAAATCAAAGGCTTATGTCACCTTGCCAGCACTGAATCCCACTCCACAGAGGCAACCACTTGGAATGCTTTTGTCATTTACTTTCTTATTTCTAAACAACATGCTTAGACAGCCATTACTGCATTTTCCAGTTTTACCTGTAATCTTCTTATAGAAGATGAACTTTGGCTCTTTTATACCCCTGCTCCCCTAATACACTTCCACTCTCCCATTCTCTCAATAGAATTACATTTTAACCCTTTGTTGTTTGATCAACATTCAGTGTTTACATAATTATAATTATGTAAGTATTCACGGCTGGGTCAAATAGTGTATTATGATTAAAGTTCCTTTCTTATTCAATATTTTATTTTTCTTAGAACTGACGATTCTTAAATGATTAAATTGTGCTTTTTTCCACTTGCTGATCTTTCTATGTATTTATAACTCATGGATTCCTAAACTCTCAGCCAGAAGCATAAAACTTCCCTCAATGCATTAAAAATATATCTGATAATTTATCCATTTTACTCCTCTTTTCACTTCTTGCTCTTCTATGGACTAATTGCTCCCTAGGTCTGCTGAGCAGCTAACAACTTGGTCTCCCTTTACTATCATCTTTCTCTACCTCTTTTCTTATATTTAATCTTCAGATTTTTGGATCCTATGATTTCTTTTTTGTTTGATTCTCTTACTTTAGTGGTCTACATCCTGCAAGAAAGAGAGCTTAATAAGTAAAAATTGTGAGACCTTATCTGTCTAAAAATGTCCTTATTTTATCTGCAAACTTGATAATAGTTTAGCTGGGTATGGAATATACATAAAAATAATTTTCTCCCAGAATTTGAAATCATTGCCTCACTATCTTCCACCTTCCAGTGATGCTGTTGAGTGAGAAGTCCAAATACATTTCTACCATATTTTCCCCCTGAGTTATTTTTATTTCTTGAAAAATTTTTTTAGAGTTTTATTTTCTTATTTATAGATATAATAACATCCTTCATTTTTCAGAGGATCTCAATTATAGTTTTTAAAAAAGTCCTGTTTCCTGCCTTGTTTTCATTCCTTTTAAATTTCTTTTAGATTATTTTAAAAATTAAAAAAAATTGTACTGACTTTAGTCTTTTATGTTAGCAGCTCTCCTCAATGTTTGATAAGTTATGACTATTTATTTATATCTAAGAATAATATACCAAAAAGATATGTATGTGAGAATATGCTTGTCAACTGGTGGACTTCGCTGTGATGTGAGCTGGCTGGGCTATTATGTAGAAGATATAGAAGATGAACTTTGGCTCATCTTCTTTGTTGTTTGATCAACATTCAGTGTTTACATAATTATAATTATGTAAGTATTCATGGCTGGGTCAAATAGTGTATTATGGTCAGTATCTGTGACTCTGTTCTCTCTTGTCTTGGTCACTTTTACCACATAGAAATCCTCTAATGTCCTGCTTGGAGAAGAGATGGTAATAGAGGTGGTTTCCAGTGTAGTTCACTGGGCCTCCCTCACTGTTTGCTGGAGCTGAGTGGCTGAGAGGTATAACATTGAATAAGCAAATTTTGATTAATCCCCCTATTTCGAGGACAGTGTCCACTCCCTCAGTTGTACCTGATGTCCCTATGTTTAGAGTCTTTTTTCTTCATCCTCTCCAGAAGAAAAGCTTCTAGTCTACTCTTGGGGAAGGAGAGAGTAGTAGCCTGGCTTAATGAGGTAGTAGAGAGGAAGTGGGAGTCTAACTATTTTTTATACAGATCATCAACCAATTATCTTTTTTTAACCCCACATGTACCCCTACTTTTGGTGGGTGCCCCCAGTGCCTGAGCCATTCTGAGGTTCTGCAGTGTAGTTCACTGGGCCTCCCTCACTGTTTGCTTGAGTTTCAGCTATCTCTGGTCTGCTAAGTTATTTGCTATCTGTTCTTTTTAGCACTAAAACTTTGCTGTCACCTTTTCCATTCTCTTTGCCATAGTGTATTTGTAGCTTAAAAAATCCCTTTGCCAATATTTTTGAGGATTTTAGGAGGAGTGACAGTAAACCCTTGTGGTTAATCCACCATGTTTAATCAGAAGTTTGTGCTTCCTCTTCAACCCCCTGCCCCTGCTCTACTTCAGTCCTTATACCAGCTAACTATTGATTAGCTGCCTCTTGGCAGACCACCCCATGGTCTAATCAGTCTTTATACATGGTCAACAGAGTAGCTTTATGACAAGAAAATCCAACATCATGAGCTTTCCTGCTCCTCTGTTCTTTGCACACACTGAATTACTTGCTTTTCCTCCAATGTGTCATATGCTCTCAAGACTTTGTCTTTACACATGTTGTTCTCTTCTGGAGCCATCCTTCCCTTCTATGCCTGTTACAAGCACCTCTTCATCCTTCAAGTCTCATATTGAGCACCACTTCCCAAGCAGAGGAATGAGCTAGCACCTCCATGCTCTCTACTGGTTCCTGAGGGCTCCTTTCACATGGCATTGGATTTATCATTTAAGGGCCTCTCCTCCCAACTACACACAAACTCCCTAACGACAAGGCTTATGGACTTCATTTTTTATTTCCTAGCACCCAGAGCTTTATCTGGCATGAAACAGAAAACCAAAAAATAGCCTTTGATTACATGAGAATGAGCTTGATTTTTCCCGAACAGAACAAACACTTCACTCTTTAGATGAATTAGGAATCTTTATTAGAGAATATACTGAATTAGAGGAAAGTCTATATTGGCTAGTTCTAAAACCCAGATATGTGTTGTATTTGCTTTTAAGTATACAGAGTGAAGTCTAGTTAACTCCGTTTGTAATTTGTATGATCCTTCAAAAACTGTATCAGAGTGGTTTACAATTAATATATTGATCACCACCCCTAGTAGTAGCTTATTCTCTGATGTTTGTGTGCTGGTTTTGCAGTGCTAGAAAATAAATTATTTTCCTAAACTAGGGAAACATTTTCCTTACAACATTTTGATGTCACTATTAATTTTCAGAAAAGACTTTTTATTCATGGGCAGTATAAATAGAAACATAGGAATAAGAATGCAGAACCAACCTTAGGTGGGAATAAATACTGCCTTGCCTGTGATTGTGCAAGGTGTACAAGCCACATGGCATTGGATTTATCATTTAAGGGCCAGGCTTAGGTACCATCCCCTCATATTTCACTCCTCTTTTTGTATAAACTATAAATTGCTATATGTATTTGGTGCTATTATTATTGTTGTTGTTGTTTCAAAGACTATTCATTGTATTCTCATAAAATCCATGTAGAAAGAAGGAGTGATGTGCTACATAGGTGCTAAAGATAATAAAGAGGCTCCAAGAGGCAGAGTGGCCTTGCCAAGTCACTAGGCAGTAGGTGGCCCACCTCTCAACCAGTCTGTGCTGAGACCCTACTCTTGTAGGCCCAGCTCTGACACAGCCTATAGTCTATACAAGTGAGGCAGCACCTCATCACTCACCATGACTGTGTACTCAGTTTGGGCTTGGATGGCATCCTTCAGGAGCAGCAGCTTCTCCAAGTCCTGTAAACAGACCAGAGACACAGCCACAGAGCTTTAAGAGGCTGCTCAGTGATAAACAAGCCAAAAGAGCTGGTTGTTATGGAACTAAGCAGATGGGTGGTCTCCTTGAGACTCCTAAGACAGAGCAGGACTTACCGGCATGTCAGCCTTGTGGTCAGTGATGGCTTTCACAAAATTCAGTGCCTCTGGAGTGGCCGATCGAATATTGTCCACCCGTCCCTCTTGGAATCGGCGAATGGACGCACTCTCGTAGGTGGGCACGAGTCTCCTGTGGAGCCTGCACAAGATGAAGGATGAATGGCAAACGGTGATGCATTCTCAGGGACTCAGGAATGCTGAGAGAAAAATAGCTCCAGCAGGCTTTATTTTTACAGTTCTGACTTTAGTTGGCATAGTATTTCATTTTAATGTTAATAGAATTCTTGAGGAGATTTCCCAAAGACGAATGTCAGGACGTCTCTAATATGAAGAGCTATGTACGTTTCCATACATTGGTGATACTGCACAGATATAAAATAAAGAAATGACTGGTAGTTTAAAAAAAATCCCAATCTGGTGGGAAACCTAGAATTTTCTGTGAGACCAATGAGTGATTAATAGCACAGAATGGAGTAATTGTGTAGTTAATCATTCACATCTTTGAGAAAATCTTATTTTATTTAAAGCGATTCATTTGTGACCTATGGATGAAGGTGGGGAGAGGCCTCAGTGATCATGGGTGTAAACTGCTGCACAGGCCCACCTGTTCAGGGAAGTTGGGCTTCCAACAGACCCATGGGCACTATGGCTGAATCTCTCTTCCCTCAAGTCTGTGATGGAAACAGCAGCGGCCACACCACCACCAGCCAGGGAAAGTCTCTTCCTTGGGCACATGACCAAGCAAGCACTTCTAGGCTTGCATACCCGACTGGCACACACCTTTTTCTACTAGTTAGTAAAGTCCTAGATGTTGGGTTTGGGGGAAGGGCACAACACAGAACACAGAGAAGAGTAGTGACAGCCCAAAGTCACACAGCAAATAGTGGCTATGTCTTAGTCTCTTCAGGGCACATCTCTTCCACACTGGGTGAGCTCTAGGAGGGAGAAGGCCAAGTCTGATTCAGCATAGTGCTTGGCTCTGTATTGCTTGGTGAGCAAGTGAATAAACTTCCTGTACACTTACATCTCATTTTCCCAAGACACTGGCAAGGAGCTCATTTCCTCTATCTCTATGGCCCCTGGAGGCAAATGCAATGCCATGCACAAAAGTAGATGCCATCACTGGCTGGTTACTGATCAACCACAATTTAGGCAGCTTCCAGGTTTTTACTGAATCCAGAAACATTTTTTTTAAAAATTGTTACAGTTTAGATTCTGAAGAATGTTCTCCATGGGAAGCAGATCATATTTCAGCTATTCAATGAGCCCAGGAGCCTCTGCCACATCCATTCCTGGCCATGTCCAGTGACAACAAAGATTGCATGGGGAGGAGGTGCTCTGTATAGGTTCCACCAGCTCCTCTTGGTTATAGATTTGAAGCTCTAAAGTGCTCATTGAAAAGTGTCCCCATTTATGGCTCCAGCAGGACCCCAACCTTATGGCCCATTTCAGACAGTTGCTATCTGAGTACCAGAATGGCACTGACTACAGTTCCAGATGCCAGGTCCCACCATAGCTCAATGCTGGCGAGGTCTCTGTGTCCCGGTCCACATGTGGGGTGATGTCAGCTTTTCTCAAGGAGCCCTGAGAGGACAGATGCTCAGAATGGCTGCTCCTTTCCCTGTGAGTTATAGCCCTGCATGGGACACTGGGAACCAAGATGCTGTGTCCACATGGGTGCTGCCTGCTCTTTAGTGAGACTTCCTTGTCCAAGCTTTATCACAAAATCTTCTTGTGTTCCTCTGGATTTTGCAAATAGAAAGAAGGTCTGGTGGGGAAAGTACTATTTACTAGCTGTGCCAGTTTATGAGCTATTGCTTCTGGAACTCTGGAGCCACCTGAAGCCAGCCCTATCTTGAGGAAGATCTACTTTGCATGTTAGTTTTAGCCTGCTATAAAAGGTGAATGGGGCACCCTACCTGCATTCAACCCTTACTCTCTATACTTCACCTCTTCTCCAATACAGAACTATCACTCTAGAGGTTTTTCTAAACCACAGACCTGACTATGCCACCCCCAGCTAACACTCCTGTAGTGTCTACTTGTGTTTGACTCAGTACTTGATGCCTACTCTGTGCCAAGAGTGTGAGACACCCAGAGTGTCATGCTTGGGGGAGACAGTCTAGAAAACAAAATCAACAAATCAACGAAGAAGGCAGTTCACATGAATAATAATTACTATGAAAGAAAAAGAGAATGCAATGGTATGATAGAGAACTGGCATGGGGGCCTGAGGTGGCTCCTTCAAAGGGGTCAGGAAAAGCCTCTAAGGGCTGACACCTGAGTGGTGGGAAGGACCTGGCTGGTGAAGAGTGGTAGTGACAGGTAGGTAGGCAGAGGCACAGCAAGAGCAAATGTCTAGAGGCAGGAGAGAGCTTGGGGGAGGACCCCAGAAGAGGCAAACTCACAGGGAGCCTTTCTAAGCCTGGACTTTGTTCTAAGCATACTGGGAAGCCATTGGGAGGATTCAAGGTGACAAATAATATAATTTGATTTGCATATTTCCAAGTTTATACTTTATGAAGACAGGATATAGTGGGCAAGAATGGAGGCAGAGACCCCTGGGGAGTGTGCTGCAGTTGACTAAGCATGAGATGGCAGGGCCTTGGGAGGGGCTGATGGCAGTGGAAGTGGAGGTGGAAGGCAGAGAATGGGTTTGAGAGAGACTTGGAGGATGAGAGATGGGGACAAATCAAAGATGAGTCCAAAGTCTTTAACTCAACCCACTGGAGGATGCTAGTTCCATTTTCTTATCTAGGTCAGAAAGCCGGTGGGGAGATGGGGGACATGTCACAGCTACAGGGGCCCAGGTAGGCTGGGTGAGATCAGGAGGAGGAGCATCTCCTCAATTCGATGTCCCCATCACCTGCCTGGCCCTAGTTAGCTCTGTTCCTGTCTTGTAAGCTCTGTGTCCTGGGCCATCACTCACTCGACTGACTGACTGTGACATCCTTACTTCTCTTTTCTGAGGTTGGATTCACACCTTGAAACCCAGTTAGGTGGCACCTCCTTCCATGTAGCCTGCCCTGGTCATCCATCTGTCCTCTGGGCCCCCAGAAAGTTGTCCTCCCTACAGTATACTTCTATACTCTAGAGTCTAGAACAGCTTGTCAGTTAGCCTACCTAGGAAGGCTTTGCTCACCTGTAGAAGGCCAGTTGGAGGGCCACCTGAATAAAAGCATCAGGGCTGAATTTCTGCTTCTTAATGAATGTTTTTCCATAGTTGTCAAAGTTATAAACAGTGAAGTCCAGATTCTTTACTATTCTGTGGGAGAAAAAGAAAAAATGCTTTCTATTGCATGCAAAATAGAATTCACAAACCACAGAGTTTAATCAAGTTTCTTGAGCCTGGTCTATGTCCTAGCACTCTGGAAGTTCAAGACACAGCGCCTTCCTTCCAGGAATAGATTGAGGGTCAGAGACAGTTGTTGACATTTGGAAGTGGCCAGATCAAGGGACTTTGAGCTGAAGATGAGGCTTGATTAGGCAGGATGGTGGCCCTGCTCTGGGGGTGGAGGGAGGTGGGCCTGGCTGAGGGAGGGTCACCAGGGCAGGAGAGTCATTTGCATAGGTAAAGAGAACACTACCCACAAACAAAATTCTAGAAGCCTGCTGCCCATAGAAGGAGGCCCGAGAGAAGCCATTTATTTGACCTGTTTGGGAAGGTGTGTTTAGTATCCCTATGGATTCTTTTGGCATTTTGGCCATCCTGCCAAATCCACAAACACTCTTTGTCTAGGGAAAAGCCTGTTTCTCAGATGGCTACAAGCAGCATCTCCTTACTGAGACTCATCCATGTTGTGCTTTGGAAAGGAAAGTCTAGAGCCTGGTCTCTAGTCAGTGTCATCCCAGCAAAGGCTGCGTGTCTGGTCTTCACTGGTGACTAAAAATTCATTATACCCAGAAACTGCTGCTGCAGCTTCCATGACATGCCCAGGTCTTTGCGGCTTACAAATATTGTCAGAGCAAAAGGAAGATTCCCTTAGTCTATACTGAGACCCATGAGCACTGGTCTCTCCCTTCCTGCCCCCGAATCATGACCAGTCTCCTCCTCCTCAATGAATTTGGGGTCTGGGCTGACAGCCTGGTGGAGCAATATCCAGTAAGGTCCACACCATCCGTCTAGCAGCCATGGGTGAGTGCAGAGCCCTAGTGGGGCAACCCTGGCTCCCCACTCACATACTTTCTCCCTCAGGACTCCATGCTTCCTGCCTGCCCCTCTTTGAATTATTCCTCCTGTTTCAGGTGAGCTTAGCTCTCAGTGGGGCCATGCCAGGTTCTGGGGACTCAGCAGGACAGAGAGCCAGTTCCCATTAGAACTCACTCCTCAGTCTGGCCTGTTGACCCACTGTTCCCAGACAAGCTGAGCTCATGGTTACCACAGCATCCTGGAAACCTTTTGCCCAAGCTTTGCCCACCCATTTCCATGGGCAGCTCAGGACCTCCCCCACCTACAGGCCTCTCTCCAGAAGGAAGAGCTGGAGGCCTCAAGATTAAGTGGGGAACTGGTCTAACCCTTATAAGTGAGCAGGCTCCTCCTTCCTCTCAGGGCTCACCAGCGTACTGACTTACTACCCTAGTGGCCTGCTTATCCCAAGAACAGCTACGTAAGGTTGAGATATCAGCACCACTTTATGGGTGAACACCTACAGCCTCTCCCATCCTTCCACAAAAGCTAGTCAGCCTCCATAACAGCTTGCAGTGGACCTGTCCTCCGTACCCCTCAGCATCTGAGCCCAGCCACACTCTGTCCAGCTCAACTACCCTAGTTTCACAGTCTCCTCTATGGCTCCCCAAACCCCTGCACAAAATCCTCTAGAGCTCCTTGCAGCTTTCAGGCCCTGTGATGTAAGGAATGTGAAGCTCTTCACAATGTGGCCCCAACTTCCCTTCAGTGCCCCAACTCTGGCCATTCTCTCAGTTGCTGGTCTCCAAAGCAGTCTGGATCTCTTATGAACCTACCCTTTCCCACAGCTGCCTGAAACACCAACTCGTCCCCATCCTTCAAGGCCCATCTTTGTAAATCCTTCCCTCAATGTCCTGGCAGAGTTCAGCCCTCATGTCCTCTATGTGTTCACATCTGTAGGTCTCTCTCTGGTTTATTGCATCATACATCTTTGCTCTGGAAGTCCACTTCCTCTGCTAATGGAAGGAGGACAGGCCCTATGACACATTCATTTCTGTGTCCTCAGAGCCTGCCACACACTAGAGCCCTGCACATATGGGTGAATGAATGAATGAATTACTCACTCTCACTTCCTGAATGAGGGAATGAACAACCAAGAATCAGTTGTCAGCCCCTGGTTCCTTTCACACCTTGCCACTGCCAGGACTCCCCCTTAAGAAGGGCCCACATCTGTCCCTGGCCTTTCTGCCCGAGTCCGTTAGGGCCTGAACTGTTCTTAGGAATAAAGGCCCCTTTGTCAGGTTGCAGTGAAAATTCAAGCAAATTGAAATAGCTTGGATTCAAATGACCTATTCAAACCAGTTGTTTATTACTTCCTTGAAAGCAGGGGATGATTTCCCCACCTTGACTCTGCTCAGTCAGGTGAAACCTATGAAAAAAAAAAACTCCACGTTTGCATTTTATGGAAATAATGGATTCTTCAGCAAGGTTATTTTCCCGAGAGTTATAACTCTCCTTTAGTTTGACTACATTTCCATGATAGGGTACGGGGGCAGAGGAGCTGGGGTTTCTGGAACCTTCCTAGGTGTCTCAGTAGCTGGGGTGGGAA